GGGAAAGAGGTAGTCTGAATTTTAAGTTCCCCCCAAAAATCTTCTCCCACATAGAGTTAAAAAAATGAACAATCAAAACCATAGGAGTTTTGGGAAGGAAACCAGTGTAGCAGTTCTTCTTTCTTTTCCCCCTCTGCTTCTGTTTCCTTTTTATTTTTGACTGTCCTGTAGGTATAAATGGTTTCACTGCTGCCTGTGATAGAGGTCTCCTGCATCCTAACCCAAGGCGTGCCAGTGCATTGACATGTGAGCAAGAGAACCTTTATATAATTTATATGTACCTGAGAGCCAGAGACCCTTTTATTTTAGAAACAGACCCTATTTTATAAGAGCCCCTTCCATGGAACAAGCTCTTCGGGCATTTTATTAGAAAGGTGCTTGCTCACAAACTAGGTATTTTTCAAAGCATGTTTCAAAATCGGTGTCCTGTGTAACATTTCTTGTTTGGTTGTTTTTTTTGTTCGGAGATTTTTAGGTTGTTTATTTTTTGACACTTCAGTGAGAAGGATAACACAAGTGTTATGATTCAGAAGGTGCCCCAAATGAGTATGAGAGAAGGCTCTGGGGAGACCTTCTTGTGGCCTTCCAGTACTTAAAGGGGGCTTATAAGAAAGATGGGGACAAAGTTTTTAGTAAGGCCTGTTGCGATAGGACAAGAAGTAATGGTTTTAAACTAAAAGAGGGTAGACTTAGATTAGATACAAGGAAGAAATTGTTTACAGTGAGGGTGGTGAAGCACTGGCACAGGTTGCCCAGAGAGGTGGTAGATGCTTCATCCCTGGAAACATTCCAGGTCAGGTTGGACAGGGCTCTGAGCAACCTGATGGAGTTGAAGATGTCCCTGCTCATTGCAGGGGGGTTGGGCTAGGTGACCTCTAAAGGTCCCTTCCAACCCAAACCATTCTATGACTCTATGAGGCAACTCACACTGGAAAAATTTTGTCTCTAGTTTTAATAATTTTCATGCTACTTCAGTTGCAATTAAGTTATCACATCAGGCCTGGTTGTATTTATTAGTGTTGAATCCTTTTCATAAATGCACTCTTAATAATTCCCCTTTTGCCCCCCCCTCGCTGCCTCTTGTCATCTCTCCCTTGTTTTTTGGCACTTAAGCATCAACTTCACGTGCAGGGGAACCACTGCAGAAGTACGGGCGCTAATCCACAGTCCTGGGGCCTGGCTGTACGAAGCTGCTGCTCTGTGTTTGGCAGGCTTGGCTTTAGCCGTACTCACTTTTATCCCCTGCCACTGCGGCCCTTGGGTCCCTCCTGGAGTGATGCCCCGGCAGAGGAGCAGTTGGGACCCCTGTCAGCCACAGCGCTGGTTCAGGGTGGTCGAGGCATGGGGCGCAGCCCTCACAGGGACACCCACCACGTGGCCGGGGTGCTTGAGCTTTGCTCTGGCATGCGTCCTGATGCCCACGCTCTTTTTTTCCTTCTCTTTCATTTTCAGTTCTGGCTCCTCTTTGTCGTCTTTAGTTAATATTTTAGCTGCGGGTAGTTTAGACAAGGGAGGTGATTTTTTTTTTTCTTTGACCAGTTGAAGGAGGAAACTTTTTAATAGTTGGTAAGCAAAGTGGAAATTGTAAGCAGAAGTAAACAGTGAGAAGAGGAATTGTTTTTTCTGGTCAGTTATTCAGGAACAGAAAAAGGAATTCATTTTACACAGGCTAAGAAGTAAAACCGTAATTTTTCAGCTAATTCTCTGCTTTCTTGTGTTTTTTCATGATTTCTGAGAAAAAAAAAGTATTTCACAAATCAGGTGTTCATTAAGCGTTCTCTTGGGATTTTGGTAGCACTTACTGTTAGTTGACTTTTTTCCATGACTTTAGTGAAATGAAAAAGAAATCTTCCTCCTAGATCTATCGTCAGGGGAAAACATGCACAGCACTTCATGAGTTTCTTCTTCTTTTCCATTCTTGTAATGTCTCAAGTCTTTTGAAATTTGGAAGTTAAACCCTTTTTTTTGTCCTCTGCATATCTTACTGGCTTTAATCCAGCTGATCTGAAGACCGCACATTGAAGTTGGTGCTCTGTTTTCTGTGAGCACAGATAATTTTCTGCCTTTTACACCTGGATGAATTTTTTTGTCTTTTTCTTGCAGTTACAGGAGAGCATTTAGCATTTTCTGATATTATACGTATTACTGGTCTGCAGATTCAGGTCTCCATTTTAAATAGATGGGTGTAATATCTGGACATGTATTTAGCTGAGAAGCAAACTGGTGCTGAGTAGTACCTCACTGCACAGTTTTAAAACATGTCGTGTCCATCTCCTGCTTGGCTTTGAAATTGTCATTGATGGTGTGTGTGAATGCAAGGAGGAAGTATTTGATGTAATTTTCTTCACTCTCGGAAGGCTTTTGATGCTGTTCCATGTGAGCTTGTTACACCTCCTAGACCAGAAAGTGGTTACGCTGCTGCTTTGCTGTGCCACACTCAGATTAGTTAGCTATGGTTTGTTGTCCAAGTGAGGAGGCACTTCAAATAAGGGCTTCGTAGGTCTGATTTTATTGTTTCCATTAATCACTTAGGTGATGGACTGGAGAATGCAATTATAAAAACTGCATGTGGTGCCAAGGGCTGGTAAACCCCTTGGAGGCTGAGAATAGTTCCTTTTCTGCTGGGTTAATGGTGAAGGAACGAAAATGCAGCAGGTTGGAAAAATGAAGCATGCAAAGGGGAAATGTAGTATCACAGAAAACTTGCTAGATACTCCAGTGGCTTAAGCAAACGCGGTAAAGCCATTCTCTGCTGTCTGTCGTCCCTCTCCATAGGAGGTAGTGTCTCTGCAGGACATACAGTATATGGGCAATGAATGTAAAGCTGCTCCTGAATTGCTATTTGTAGGTGCCATAAACCAATTCTGAGTTACTTTAATATGCCAGCTTGCAAATCATGGCATTTGGGTAACTTTTTCATGCATAGCTTGGTTCTATCTGCTGTGGGGGTGGGTGGCGAGGAAGGCCAGCAACTCCAGCTGGCCTCCAGCTGGAATGTCTGCTGGGGAGACAGCACTTGGTACAGCTCTATGATGGAGTTTGCCTGTATTTGTGTCAAGGGCCGATTTACAGTGGGATACTGCTGCAAGCTCTCTTTGATATGGTAGTGTATGTGCAAGGTACAGGAGGTGGCTTCCCACTCTTCTCCTGGCTGAGACCTTACTGGTAGTGAGCATCATGTCCAGTTTCGAGTGTCATGCTTAAAGACAAGCTGGAGAGATTCCAGTTTAAACTCAAGGACAGTGAGCTGTTTGAAAAATACGGCCCATAAAGACATGATGAGGCAACTGGGATTTCTTTAGAAAAATAGAAATCACTCAGGGGTGGGCAAGTATGATGATACTTTTTTGCTATGTCAAACCTTAACATCAAAAATGCCTGCGGCCAATTAGTTTCTGTGTTCCGGGGAGGAGGATTAATTTCCAGCAAGAAAGTTTAAGACTCTGGTGGTTGGCTTGTTTGTTTGGGTGTTGTGGGTTTTTTTTTCTGTAAGAATACTTAATGAAAATAGTGGAAGATGCTAGCTGTGAAGTTGTTGCATCTTGGTTGTGGGAGGTTTTGAAGAACAGGTTTGACAAACACCACTTAGGGCACAGGTGTATTTATCCAGCTTCAGAGTGGGGCTGGAACGGTAACATCTAAAGGTGCCCTCGGGTCTTTCCACTTCAATTCTATGATTATGTAGATATATATGAGGCAGAACCGGAAACACAAAGAGCTTGACATCCTTTTGATCTTCTAATCTGGTTTGCCTTTCTTGAGCATCTGTACATCACAGCATAAAATAGGGGAAGAATTGTTATTGTTACTTTCTCTATTTTAATTTTATGGCTTTAGATGTGAAAAGACTTGCAGGCTGCAGAAGTGAAAGTTGGCGCTAATTCTCTGTTCCCACCTTTTTCTTCACAGGTCGCTTGGTTGGTGCCCTGGACGCCGTATTAGACTCTAACGCACGCGTCGCTCCATTTCGAATTTTACTCCAAGTTCCAGGCTCACAGGTTTACTCTGCCATTGCATGTGGTGAGTTATTGAACGGATCAGAAGTTTACTGGGCCGTAGCTATTGGTGAGTCACAGACGAAAAACCCCGAACCGGTTCTGAGCATGGTCAGTGTCTGCATGTCCAAGAAGCTCAAGGTAACCCCAGCTAGTAGAGTGTGTGTGGAAAGCTATTGCCTATAGCTTGCTTAACAACCAAATTAACCTCTGGTTAAAATCCCGGATAGGAATTATGAAAGTGTTAACTAGGAACATTAAGTTTCTGTAAGAAGGTTGTCTAGCTGAGGATGTTTTGCATTAATTTGCTGTCTCTTGCAAAGCAATGGTGGTTCTGTTCATACACGCCATCTTTTCCTGCAGTAGTTCCTTACAGCAAAAACCTACTTACTGTAGGGTTTTACCAGTCTAGTCTTTCGCTTGCTTACTGGTAACTGTCTTACCACACTTGGTTGTAATGATGTACAACTGGAACATTTGGAAGATGCCACATGATTTAGGAGGTCAAGTTGTCGGGGGGAATGTCTAATTGCCTGGTTTCTTGTGCACTAATACCTTTGCAGTGTTGCTGCAACCTCTGAAGGCCGAGCTCCTCTTCAGGAAAGTGGTGTCGATGTGGATTGCAGCAGCCTTGCCGTGGCATGGTAAAGGCCATCTGAATGCCCTGGTTCCATTCATCCTCTTCTTGCCTGGCTGGTCTCTGCAGGGCTGTTCTCATCCCTTCTTCTCCAGTCTATAAAATCCTGGCATTGAAATACACAGCAGGTCTTCCTTTGGGAACGGTTCCAAGCTGCAAGAGAGGAGGTTCAGACTGGGTGTTAGGAAGCATTTCTTTACCAAGAGGGTGGTCAAACCCTGGAACAGGCTTCCTAGAGAGGTGGTCGATGCCCCAAGCCCATCAGTGGTTAAGAGGCATTGGGACAGTGACCTTAACAACATGCTTTAGCTTTTGGTCAGCCCTGAAGTGGTCAGGCAATTGGGCTGGAGGATCGTTGTAGGCTCGTTCCAACTGAAAATTGTTCTGCTCTGCTTTGTCCTAGTCTACTCTATTCTTTCCTTTCTTACACAGACCAAGCCATGAAATAGTTAGCTAATGCAAATGTTGATGTGTTGGTGGTGTTTGACATAGTAATCATTTAAATGGAAGAGGCAATCTGTAAATTCGCCGCCTTCCTCTGGACAAGCTCATTCAGCATTTCTTCCTTGGTTCAGTAGAGACCCCTCTGCACATTCCCCAGTAATACTGGGAACTTTTCCCTGTGCCAGATCTGTGTGAAGAAGCTTGCGTAGAGTCTGTTTGTGCTACTTTTGTTGTGACCAAGTTTTCTTCTTTTTGCAGTTGCTCTACGGTTTATATCTCTACCCCCCTCCTTTTTATATTTAAATAATGCCATCTCATGGAGAAATTTAAGAGCTTCGTGCTGTTATAGTACTGCAATGAAGCCAGGTGGAAAAACAAACTCAGTTTTGCTGTCATGGGCTTCCTGATCATTTGAATGTATGTAATATTCGTTTCTGGGGCTGATCCTTGCCCTAGCCACACTCTTATTGCCCCACAGTTTGTTTGTTTGTGTTTTTATATTAAAGGAACTACAAATCAAAAACTGCCTGGTTGGAGTGGTTAAGGGTTTTGCTGAGGTAAACTTATTTGATTAATGTTTTCTAAAATTCTCTTTGGCTCTTCTGAATGGATGCTCAGCCCTGAGAAAAGGAGATTTATAGTAACAGAGTGGAAAGCAGAGGGCTCTGCTTCGTATGCTGCGTGGGTAAGACACACGCGCTTGCCAGAGCTGCACAGAAATTAAGAACCATGGTAGCAGAAGTTGTTTCTGAATAATACCTCTGCTGTGAAACCCTGACGCGAGCGTCCAGGGGAGAGCCAGCGCTGGCAATAGGAGTCAGAGGAACAGCATCACCCGACCTTTTTCTTAGAAAGCTGGAAGCCTTTCCCTGCGCAGAAGCGGCCGTCACTGCTCACCCAGCTCTGCCCTGTCCGAGCGAGGTGCTTTGTGCGAACACGACGTCAAGAGTTTTGTTACTGCATTTGGAAGGAGCAGAGAGTCGAATTAAGGCTCCTGCTGTACAGCAAGGAGAAGGAGCAGCTCCAGGAGCTCCTTCCAGTCTCCTGGTGTAACTTCGTTAGGGATAGCCATCATGTCATTAGGTAGTTAATGAAAATGACATTTTTCAATTGTATGTTGGCAGTCTTCTGTTCCAGGAGCTGCAGGCTTAAAGGATAACATACGCATGAGGGTCGTATCTGTGTTACAGAGTTTTGCAAATCTCCGAGGGCTGGTAGGAAGTCTGATCCCTGCCCGGCATGGCCGTTCTGGCAGAGATGTTTTAATCCAGATGGTTAATCATGTTACACCAGCACAGAAGAATATAAGCCTAATCTCAGCCCTAGTGTAGAGCCACTTATGACTCTCCTTTCAGAAGGCTTGTGGGCAAACAAAAACCCGAGTCCCAGTTAATGACATTTATGAAGTTCCATCACAAGTTCCTGTCAAGGAAGTTAAAGCTTGGAAAGTTTCCCTGCCAGTTGGCATTCTGCATGGAAAACAGAGCAGAGGAAGGTGGATCCTTAGCTAAATTTATCATTTTTTTGTTGTGAGGCAACATGGTGCATCTGTAATGTACACATAAATCAGATTTTGAGATAATGAGTCTTCCATTTGAGATTCATTTTATAATTATATTCATCTGTGATTTGTATGTCTCTGATATCCAGCTACTTGTCTCCTTTCTTCTACCAGCAAGGCATTAGAAAAAATAACTTTTACTGGCTTTACTGTTTTACCTATAACATTTGGTCACTGACCAGTAAGAGCTGGAGGGGCCAGATTTTCCCCTAGTTGCCCTGTATGTTGCCAGTCTTGGTCTAACTTTCCTGTCATCGCGCGAAGCAGCAACAGTTCAGTTTGAAGCAGGAACAGCCAAAGCAAATAGGTGGTGACTGAAGTATTGTTTGTGGAGTTAGTGTCAACACATTACATTTAAAACAACAACAGCAAAACCCTTAAATAAGTCCTTAAGTAAGAAAACCTTAAAGATTTGAAAGTATTTGACAGAGATTTTCTGTTCACTCTGTTTCTTCCCAAACTGCAGAAAAGTGCTCTGACAGACCTTTTAGGTGTTGCTGAACCAAATTCCTTTATTTTTAGCTACTTTAATTATTACAGGGACATTTTCAAATAGGATGCAAATTATGACCATGCAGTTTCCTCTCAAAGTGTGTGCATGTGTGTGTGGGGGGTGCGCATATGCATGTGCTTACTGAGGGAGGGAGAAAGGAAGATCAGCAGCTGTTGGGAACAGGACGTAAATCGATGGTTTCCAGCGGCCGCTTAAGGAACGTCCTGTCAAAATAAGCTGCAGTCTAGCAGTTCAGGATGAAGTTTTGCTGTTTTTTCTGCTTTGACTTTTAATGCAGCATTTGCTGGCTGAGAGCGTTTGAGAAGATAAAACTAAAAGCACTAAAACTAATTCTCTAAAACAATAAGGGGTTTTGTTTTTCTCTAATTATACTGTTACAAATGAGACCTTTTTGACCTGCTTGCTACCAAGAATTTTGAGGTTGAAAGTTCAGTTTCTCATAGTGAATTTATGAAATAGTGAATTTTTTTTCTTCCTTTCAATTTCATTTTGTAGGATGAGTTTCAATACATTATTTTTTGCTTTTCTAGGTGCCACTGCAGAGGAGATAAACCAGCACTGGGAATGGCTGGAACAAAACTTGCTCCATACTTTGTCTGTGTTCGACAATAAAGAAGATATTGTTAGTTTTGTCAAAGGGAAAGTGAAGGTAAGGAAAGTGGCTTACTTTCACTTTTCCCTGCCCGATTACATGTGCTTTATTGGAAATAATGTCATGAAGTTGTTGCCGTTCATATTTGGTTTTGTCCGTCTAAACATTATTTATTGTTTTTCTGTGTGGCACTTGTACCTGATGTGGCCGACACCTGTGCGTCTCCACTCGTATTTGCTTGGAAGCATCTCCGAAGCAAAGCATCTAATTTAATCTTTATCCCACCCTTCCCTTTCCAGCTTCACTGTTCTTCTCTTCCCTGTGGTGTGCAGCTGAGCTTTCTTTAGCATCTGCTTTCAGTTCCTCTGCCTCTCCAAAACATTATGTTAAATACCTTCCCTTCCTATATCTCAGCTTTTCCTCCTTGCCACGTTTCTCCTCCGATCTCCCATGTTTTTCCTAGCTTTAAGCCATCAGTTTCTCCTCCCTGTTTCTGTACTTGGGTCCCTCGATGGGGCTCAGACGCGTCAGCAGGCAACAGCCACAGTGCCCAAATCTGCTGGGAGCAGAGCGGCCAGGCGCTGCGGTGAAGCTGACAGCTGGCCGCAGAGTTGCAGAAACGATGAGCATCCTGCTGGAAGGCTGAAGAAGGTTCAAAGTAAGGGAATTTGGTGGCTGAAGACCAGATTTAAAATTTTCACGTGTGGTGAAACTTGGGAAGCCTGGTGTTCTGAGCTCTGCTTCCAGTAAAATACACACTCCGAGGGGAGCTTGGTGGTGGCTGGTGGGGGTGCGGGTCTGCTGGTGACTTACTGTGCCCCAGGTCCTGCTGCAAGCTTGTCCTTGCCAAGAGTTTTAGGGAGGTGGTCTTCCCCCCACACTCCATTTTTTGGTCTGGAAAATTTGTAGGAACATAATGGTTTCGGTGAATTTCAACCCTGCTGCTGTGAGCTCCGTGGGCTCTGAAGTTGTGGAAGAAGGGAACGGAGAGGCAAAAGATCACCGTGTAAATCTCAGTTTTTATCCTGCTTTCTTAAAAAAACAACTTTGTCTAGGTGCACTGAAAGCCTCAAATAAAATTAATCTCTCTTGATAACGCTGTGGCAGCCTGTAACTTAGCACAACACATATTTAAAATTGTTCAGGTTTCATTAGTTAATGTTAAGTCCAGGTTTTGGACCCTTGCCTCCACTGTAAATTTTTGGCATATTAGGACTGCTTGGTAATTGCAAATTATACTGGATGCTGTAACATACAAATTATTTGGACCGTGCAATACATACTGAACTCCTTTGTTGCAATACTGCTACTGAAATTCTCAACACTTAATTATATTTACATGGGTGTTCTTGAAATCATGTTTTTAATGGTTCCAAGCATCTTGCTGACACTTCTCACTGCATTGCCTTGTCATAGGAAAATAGTGCTGGTCACTATACACAGTTGTTACTCTGCCTTTGCTCTGAGTACACCAAATAACGGCAATCATAAGCCGTAGTGAAACTATATGGTTCTGCTGGACTCATTGAAAAAACTATAATTTAAAAAAAAGCCCCAAAAAGTCTTGATTTGGAAGCATTCGAAATGTATGAGGGCTGCAAACACCACAGAAATTTCTGCATTTGTAAAAACTGCAAATCAGCTTGAATTTCTTTGTAAGAAAGGGTTGTGTTATTAAATCTGAATGGGTAGCTTTTAGCAGCTCGCTAGAGTGTGAATGCTGTAGCTTTATCCTGATACATTATCTTGTTGTGGACTCAGGCGCTGATTGCAGAGGAAACAAGCAGCAAGCTCGCCGAACAGGAGGAAGACCCTGAAAAGTTCCGAGAAGCCCTGGTGAAATTTGAATCTAGATTTAATTTTCCTGAAGCCGAGAAGTTGATCACCTATTATTCCTGTTGCTGTTGGAAAGGAAAAGTTCCTCGGCAAGGCTGGCTTTATTTGAGCATCAATCATCTCTGTTTTTATTCCTTCTTCCTGGGCAAAGAATGTAAGTGTAAATGCGTAAGAAATCTAATGCTGGGGAGAGATATAAATATGACTATTTTTAAAGGCAAAAATAGCTAGAATTTTTCTGACAAGCCTAGTGTGCCTCTGAAGTTTAGTTTCTGAGGTTTTTGTTGTTCAGCTGAAACATCCTGTTTAATTTAGTTTTCACTTCATCCTTTATGTTTGTATCTTAGTATTAAATCCTGTAATAAAATTGAGATTCTAAGAGTATGCAAACACAGCTGCTATCTGGTGCTTTTTCCTGCCGTGGTGAAGCAGCCTTAAAGTGTAGCAGACCTCCTATAAAGTCTGAAATCGAGACTTTTAGTGCTGTGAGTAAGGGGACGTAGGCGGTGATGCGCGGTGATGGCTGCGGGGCGGCAGGGCAAGGGCTGGTGGGGCTGGGGAAGCCCCAGTCCAGCTGCCCGCCTGAAAATAGCCCAGGAGACACAACAGGGCTGTGCCCTGGAGAGCCAGGTGAAAATTTAGAGGTTTTAAGGGAAAGCAACAGCAATTTAGGGATTTCTTTGTGTTTCTGAATGGTGGTGCAGGAAGGTTACAAGACGTGTGGGCCGGGGTTTTTAGACCTTCAGACGGTTCAGGGGGTTGTAAGACTTTGGTCATGGTGTTCACCTACAGAGAAAGGGTCATGTGATTATGAAAAGCCTGTCGGAATAGATATTAGATGGTAAAAATGAATGTAGCCATTTAAACTCTGTAGCATTTGTCTGTTTAATAAGATTGTGCACGAACACATTTGAAGTCCAGTTTATCCTGCTGCGAATTCAGCGAGGACAGTAGTATATACCTACATTGCTAAAAATGTATCAAGAATTGTTGGTTATAACAATGAGGAAAACTTTAACATTTACTGTCTGGATTTAATATTGGGGTGGCTAGTCAAATAAAACTGTAGATTTAAAAATGAAGTACATTAGTGGAAAAATAAGAAAGAGAGTACTTGGTAATTTCTAAGACTTCTAACATACTAAGACATGCTTAGAGTTGGAGGTCCTTTTTTCGCTTATATTATTTCAGGCTGATTATTTTGTTGTATCTGCAAAAGGTGGCAGAGTTAGATTTAAAATGCTGGTAAGCTTGGTATTTGTTATAAAAATAAAAGTTGAGATTTGCTGGGAAGACTAATGGAGTTTCTTGAGACATAGGAGATATCTGAGTTCTTGTTTAATCTCCTTGTTTTCTGTTTAGTATCAAATAATATCCTTTGTGAACTATTTCTTCTTGCTATCATTGTAGGCTTTCTCTCATTACATCCGAGATATCCAGTCTGCCAAAGTACACAAAGCAGAAATGATACTTATTAATGACAGATAATGGGGGGAGGAGGAGGGAGAGGGAAACATCCTTCGTTTTGTTTCAGAAGTTGTGTTTATGCAATACCACAGATCATTAGATGATACTGGAAGTACAACATCACGCTGTATGATTTAGAGAAGAAATCACTTCTCATCCTTTTAATAATTATTCATTATGAAAATGCAAAAAGCCACGAAACAACTACATGTTTGCAGTGTTTAATTTTGACCATGGACGATACACTGTTCATTCACTGCTACAGTCAGTTGCATTGCCTTTGTGTTCCCATGCATTTGCATGGAAACGAGAAATAAAAACTCCAATTTTCTTTTGGTTAAACAAGGCTTCTCTAGCTTGGTGGGAAGCATTATATGTTGAAGTGCTTCCCACCTCTCCAGTTCTAGCAAAGCAGATTGCTTCTGTTTCAAAGCTAGCATTTTGTCACATTTATTAAATACTTGTATTACATTCCATAATCCAGATTTGCTATAGGTCTGGTTGTTACTGTTTGAGAAGCTGATGGTGATTATACGTAGAACAAGTGATTCATTGTCTTTTTTTTTTTTTCAGGTAGCAATCACAAATTGAATCTGGTTAAATCTGGTCTTGAAAATATCGCTAAGAAATCACATTTATGGCATTCCTCAATACAGCGCAGGGGAAAAAGAACAATATATGAGTTTCATTAAAAACAGTTCTTAAATGTGTTTTAACTCTGTAGAAATCCTCCCAAATTGCAGACTGAAATCGCTTTATAGGCAAAGTGTTAAGTCTTCTGCTTCTGGCAAGTCTGACCCCTTCCCCTTGTTTTATTTTATGTTGAAATGAGCTGGAACGCAATATTGGAACCTGTTTTCGGCTTCTCATAAAATTAACTTACGGCTTATGCGAGCATAAACTCCATGGAACATTTTTTCCAGGACAAGTCCCCTTTTATCTAAGCCTCTAAGTATTTGCAGAATTTCAGAGGCTTAGAACATCGGATTTCTTGAAGGACGTGCCAGGGTTTCTTCACATTATTTAATTAAACTTTTGTTTTCCTAAAACTTTGAAGACTGTGTACCTTTCATCAGTAGTCTGGGCCCCTTACAGTCTGCTGTGCTGTTTCTGTTACCAACACTGTAGAGCCTGTGTGATTCCGACGTGTGTGAACAATAGTGCTATTGCTACGGCACAGTTTAATCTGTCGTCCCTTGGCTGTGCCCGTACAGATGATTTTATGACCATACGCAACAGTTTGTGCGTGTTGACGCAGCTGTGCTTTATTTGAGTAAGAAAAAATGTAATCTGCAGATAATCTTGACAGCTGTGGTTCATGTAGTACGGAGAACTTGCTGAGGGTAGCTCCTTAGGTAATTAATGATCATGGGTAAGTGTCATGTATACATGACAATGTTTGTTATTACTACCTTTTTATTGCTTTATTGGCATCAGGAGACTAGCTAGGGATGTTAGGGGGTGTAGTCTTGATGTTATTGGCATAGAGAATCCTGGGAAGCTTCCAACAGTTGTTAAGTAGAAATTTAATCTATTTTAAAGTCTTTTCCAGCCTAATTTCTACCCAGAGATTAGTATGAGAGAGGCAAATAACATCCTGCAGTAGTTATATAAAATAAACTGATTCTCTTTACCATTTTGTATTTATATGATTCAGCAGTATTTAAGTATGGACAACACCGTCCTCTACTTTTTCTTTTGTATAAACAAGTCTGACTACAGTTAACATTTAGGGCAAGATTTGCCTCTGCACCTTTTAAGTAAACGGTAACCACAATGGAAAGATCCCAATGCCTAGGTGGCTTTTTTTGGAACGCCATTTATAGTAACACTTAAACTTGATAAATATGTCGAGGTGCAAAAGTCTAATTTGTATGGGACTTAGTTTTATTTTAAAAATTAAAGCACTGTGCATGTAATTTGGTTTCTACCTGCCCATAGTTTTATTTCTGGGAGATCACAAAGCCTTTCCCTATTTTCCTCCTACTCTTGAAATGAACTGTTTCTTCTGGTAGTAATGAAGCAGGCTGCAGAAATGGCTTGTAAAGGAGTTAGGAGCACAGCATATGGCAGGTGTTCTGCAGAGACAGGACTCCCCAGTCCAGCACTTCTTAGGAAAACAGGTAAAATTTTGAGGGAGAGATTCTGACAAAGACAAGTCTTTTGGAGTGGGGGAGAATGAAGGTAGAGTACTAACAGGCATTTCAGCTTTTGCTTGGTGTTTGTTTGTAAAAATGGCTCGCTCTCCTCTTTGCTTGTTTGCATTTCATTCGGAATTTGCTTATTTCCAAATCTTAAAAATGTAAGCAGAGTTTCCAACCCCTTTTCGCTTTTTCTCCGATGGCAGTGAAACTTATCATTCCTTGGGTTGAGGTCCAGAAGCTGGAAAGAACCTCCAACGTCTTTATGACCGACACAGTCCGTGTCACCACTCCAAATAAGGAGCGTGATTTCTCCACGTTCCTCAATATCGCCGAGGCTTTCAGGATCATGGAGCAACTGGCGGATGTGACGCTGCGAAGGCTACTGGATAATGAGATCTTTGAACTGGATCCGGGGCTACAGGATCCTACTCAGATTACCAAGAGGTAAAAAGCTAAATTGTTGTATGGAGCAGAGGTTCGATGGTGGGCTTCGTGGTTTGCTTTGTTAGCTGGGTAAGATTTCCAAGGTTTACTTGACTGGGTGCAAAAGAGGTTTTATAATGTATTATGGTGTATCCCATAGGTGCATTTTAACTTGTGTGCCAGATACTTTTTTCCACTTTATATTCTTCCCTTAAACATCACTGTGGTTTTTTGTTTGTTTGTTTTAAAAGTACCATTCCCTGAAGATTGCAGGAAAGGATATTTTCCATATTCCCTGAAGAGCCACAGTATTTTGTTTATAATTTTGGCAATGTGTAGGCTTTCCTAGTACCGTCAATTCTGTAGAATTATTGCTTTTGATCATATCTGAAACACAGAGTTTCCCACTAGTGTGGTTACCATGGCTGATTTAGTAAGCAGTTATAGGACTGAAAAACCCCCAGGCAGTTGCAACAGATTAATGTGCTGCTGTCAGCTCTACGCCATGCCTCGCCAAAAT